TTTTCGCGAAATGCGAGCATGGTTGATTGGCTCTCCCCATCCTATTTCGGTGATATGTGACCACCGTAACCTGGAGTACTTCATGCAGTCTCAGGTTCTCAATCGTCGCCAGGCTCGCTGGGCGATCTTCCTTTCCGAGTTTGATTTTCGTTTGGATTGGGCTGCTGGTACCTCTAATGTGGCAGATGCTCCGTCACGTCGCCCCGACTATCTTCCATTAGAAGGGGATGAACGACTAGAGCTTCAACGCCGTGTTCTACTAACTCCTAAACATACAGAACGACTCTTCTCCTCTCCGCTTCCTTCTTTCGAAACTTCCCCTCCTGTCACTGCCTCTGCTCTCGTTACTCTAACTCTTGATAATTCCGACTTGCTTCAACGATTTTTGAATGCATATCAGGAGGATCTGGAGTGGCGACAAGCTTTGGCGAATGGCAACTCCGACTTCTCTGTGCAGAATGACCTTGTTTTCCACAACGGTCGTCTGTACGTTCCCGAACCACTACGTCGCTCGATTCTCGAGTCCCGCCATGACAAGGCGATTGCTGGCCATCCAGGTCGGACTCGTACTATCAACCTCGTTTCTCGCGACTATTCCTGGCCGGGTATGCACACGTACATTCGGAAATACGTGGCTGCTTGCGATGGTTGTCCTCGCTCCAAGGACCCCCGCCACAAACCATTTGGTCTCCTCCAGCCGCTGGAGATTCCCTCGAGACCGTGGCAGGCGATTACGATGGACTTTATCGTTAAACTGCCCTTATCTCATGGGTATGATTCCATTTGGGTAGTTTGCGACCGTCTTACCCGTGCCGCTCACTTCATTCCTTGCACCGAGTCAATGACGGCTCAGGACTTGGCATGGTTGTTCCTAGACCGTATCTTCCGCCTCCACGGTCTTCCTCTATCCATCGTCTCTGACCGAGGCTCTATTTTCATTTCCTCTTTTTGGGTTTCTCTTCTTTCTCACCTGGGAATTGATGCTAAACACTCTACAGCATATCATGCTCAGACTGACGGTCTGACTGAACGCACTAATCAAACCCTCGAGACTTACTTACGCTCTTACGTTTCTTATCAACAGGATGACTGGGTGGACTACTTACCACTCGCCGAGTTTGCATTCAACAACTCGGAGAACGCTTCCACCAAACAGTCTCCTTTCTTTGCCAATCTCGGGTACCACCCCATCTTTGAACCGACTCTCACTGAACGCTCTACCAATCCCGCTGCTGACGACCTTGCTGCTCGTCTCCGTATTATCCATGACGAGCTACGTGCAGAACTCCAACATGCTCAGCAGGTCCAAGCCCGGTACTACGACCAACGCCACCTTCCCCAACCGCAGTTCAAAGAGGGCCAACTCGTCTGGCTTTTACGTCGCAACATCCGAACCACTCGCCCTAGTGACAAACTCGACCACCGTCGTTTAGGTCCCTTCCCAATCAAACGGGCGGTTGGACAATGGGCTTACGAACTCTCGCTCCCTTCTTACCTTTCACGACTTCATCCCGTATTCAATGTCTCGCTTCTCGAACCATATCACGACCCTTCTGAATTCCACATTCACTCCGACCCTATTCCATTTACTCTTCATGACGATTCTCCCATTATAGATTCCCTCCGCGACTGTAGAAAGGTTGGACAACGATACGAATACCTCGTGCACTGGAAGGACCTACCCAGTGACGATGATTCCTGGACTCCTCTCTCTGACCTTCCTACTACCTGCAACCAGCTAATCGAGCAGTTTCACCGCCGTAATCCAAGGGCTCCACATCCACATCAACTTATTCTCGAAAAGCACTTTAATCCTTTACCTGACCTTGCTAACGACGTTCCTACTCCTACAGATACGACTATAACACCTCCAATTAACGCTCCCCGACCTCCTTCTCCTCCACCTTTACGCCAACCCGCTCTAACTTCCGCAAACTACACGCCAATGTCTACCACGACCCTCAGGTCCGGACGAGTCTCACGACCACCTCAACGCCTAGACCTATGATTACCTTTCGTTCCTTCCATTCCTTGTTTTTTCTATTCTCTTCTCTACATTACGACGAAGCGTTAGCAATCCGCCGGGGATACAGGTACTACTCGACTATCAACCGACACCTACGCACACGGGGACTGAGCTGGCAGTACCCTCCGTCTCAAATTGTGTGCTACGGCTAGGGAGAGACTCCGCGAGGGTAGTAGCTACCTCTTGAACCGCGCCGTGCGCTTTCGTGGACTCAAAACGTTGCCTCACGGCATGGTCTATTACTTACATTACCACCTATCACGCTCATTTATTTATTTATTTTTTCTCTGTTTATGTTCTCGCATTCACGCTTCACTAGGCTTCGCATTGAAGGGGGGATAGTGTAAGGGTCTCCTACACGACGCCCCTTACTGTCATGCTCACACATGTCTCCGCCGCACTAGACTCATAGTATATATATTTTCGCTCATGTCGTATGTATTCTCTTGACGAATCAACGCCATATTGCGTTCCCCTCTTTCCTTTTCCGTTCGCATTGAGCTTGCCTTAGCCCTCACACACGCCGACTTTCTTCTCTCCAATTTTCTTCGCCCCCTCTTTGTAATTATATGTATCTCTACCAGTCTCACTTGTGTCGTTGAGACCCATTTGAAGTATGGTCTGGAACCGGTCGCTGATGCGACTTGGGTGTCATAGCATTGGCAGCACGGGAAAATCACCAATAGCCGTGCGGGTCGCTCATTGCACAGACATCTAAACGTCGAATTCAAGTTCTCCAGCCTCAGGACTTATGCGTTCGCTCGGCATCCACCAAGCTCCCCCCACAGATAATAGCCGAAATGATGATTCTCAAAGTATGTGTTTACACGTTCCAATCCTCAATCATGATCTCACGTTGGGACTCACAGAGTTGCAGTGCGATATCGCGACTTTCCACCAGAAAATCACGTTGGAGATAATAGAGTTATCATGTCATTCCCTCCCCGGTATTGCTGATCATGAGGCACAAAAAATCGCCTTCGACGGCTGGAGGTGGTGAACGATACCGATCTGGGCGGGGAATTGTCTTCTGTCAGGTATCAAGGAGTTTCGATAATCGAGTGCATCGACTGAGTTTCAACAGAAATCCCTTGTCGTTCCCTCCGCTTCGTCGCTCTATACTGTCATCTCCAAGCAGATACCTGTACCGGGTTCAAATGAAGTATCGGTCAGATTGAAGGGTATTGGGCTGAATCTGGCGGAGTGTAAGGTTGCCGCTTATACACAGATGTCGGAAGCCTTCGGGTTTCCTGTTTAAGCTGGAAGCGATGGTGCAGATGTGATGGAGTATTGGGAAGGAAGTGGCCCAGCTGAAAAAGGGCGACCAAGTGTGAGGGGCTGACTTTGATCCAACGTGTCCCGGTCGCTCAAACCACGCCGTAAACCTCAAAGACTCTTCCAGGCATGGTTCAGTGTAGACTACAGCACGTATCAGCAGTATGCGCTGGCTTCTGCAAAGATGGTCGTCAAAGTCAGTACCATCTAGCCTCCGTTCATACCTGACTTTATTCTGATCCTGCGTATGCCCCGAATAGCTTTCATCAACTATCTCTACTTTGGAAGCAACGTCACTCCCGTTAGCTGTCGCAACAGCCGCCGTTGGGTTTGCCCTTCCAGACCTGCTATTCCGTCGCCCACTAAGCCCGCTCGAGGCCTCAATATGTCTTTGTTCACCGCAGGCCGAGCTGGAGCCGGCTTCAAGCCTTTCTGGGAGGACAGAGCGAAGGGGTCTCAATCAGGCCAGCCGCTTGTCGTTCTCAGAGCTCTGTCGGCCAACTAGGTCTGTGTTTCTTCAACTACCTCCCCAAAAAATCAAACCCGCTAACTGTATTCCAGCCATTCAGTTTGCCTCCCGCTACGGATTCCCACTCATAATCGCCACCTCTTCCGCGAAACACCCCGATTACCTCAAGTCCATTGGTGCTACGCACGTCGTCGACCGCGATACACATGTTGACAAGGTCAAGGATATCCTTCAGGGGCAACCTCTCAAATACATCCACGCCGTCGTCGATGCCATTTAGCAAGCATACGTGACTTGCTGGCTCCAGGCAGTTAATCTCGGCTGTCCTAGTTCCGGCTGAGGTCATGTTCAACGATGGACGGAACAGCGTTCTTGCAAACGGGTCTATACACCTCTGCAAAGAGTTTGGCTATCGGCTGATGGGCGCCTCGGGCGGGCTGTTGGAGGGTGGTGTTATTAGGGTTCGTGTTTCGAACGCCGTTTGAGTAGACTGTGGACTCATATACGTCGTGCCTTTCTTCGTTGTAGCCGATCAGAGTCGAAAAGATACCTGGTGGGATTGCCGGGATACCCGACGGACTGGCGAATTTGCAACAGAACCTGGTTAGCAGGGTGAAGTTGGTCGTCGATCCTTCAGAAACCCTCCGATGTCGCTTGTACTTCGCTGAATTCACCTCCGTCTCTAACAATCTCATGACTCGAGCGCTCGTTCCATGAAACACGCCTCAGACCCGTGTGAGCCGTATGAGATGGTGCTGGTTCCCGGTGTGAAATGGGCGCCTGAGCACAGAAGGAACCCTAGCAGCTAGTTGCCCTTGATCACCATTGATTTCAGAAGGGGTAGTGTCTATGATGGCTACAGCTAACTGAATAAATCCAAGAATTCACAAGGACGGAGCGGAACATGACCACATAGTCGCACCTCGGCGTCAATCTGGCTCTCTCCGCCAGCTGGGGTGAGTCCGGATACATCGGGCTAGCTCGCCATCACCTCCACGACGGCTCTAGACACAACTTTCATCCCCAATGCCTGACTCTGTTGAGATCTGAAACGGGGTTTACTAGACCGGCAAAGAGCTTGCAACCCGTTTTCTTCGGATATGGACTGCAGAAAGCACGTCACGTACGGTGGCAGCAGACACCCAAGCCAGAGTCCATCTTAATAACTCAGAATTGGGAAGGTCCTGCAACTTTGCAAAAAGTAGAAACGCCGAAACAGAAAGGCCTCTTAGCCCACCGCGAGGGTCGAACTCGCAGCCTTCAGATGCCCGCGTTTAAGAGTCTGACGCTCTATCCGATTGAGCTAGGCGGGCAGTATGCTGAAAGAGAATAGTTAGATAAAGATAGCAGTTCTGAGACCCGCGAGTTGCGTAAATTTTCTTGAGGGTGCTCGTCACAGTCAGCTGACTGTGACCTAGGGTCACACGGTTTTCCTGGCGAAAATTTCGTTTCCATCGTACTCCTTCTCTTTTTCCCTTTCCTCAGAGCCAAGTCTCCACCTTGCACTATCCAGTAGGCTTGGATCAGAGACGTTACTCACCAGTCGTATAATGCTTGGTCCGACTATGGTATGGTGAGTGGGCAGTCTCTATTCATCTTCGAATTCCTCTGCAGGATGAGCCCTATTCAGACCTGTTCTGTATTTACCGTGGAGAAAACCATATATTGCCTTTTTTTCTCTGATTTCTGTTCGCGTTTTTACGCACTCTCAATCGACCCATTTCTGACCATCCGCTTCGCAGAACTATTCTTGAGAACAGAGTGAAAAGCAAGGCTGTTCATTGGGTGCGAATGGGAAGCGAAAGTGAGTACACCTCATACCCTCTAGCTAGTCGTAGCTGAAATAGGTTGCACTCCTGGGCATGAACTCCCTGCTTTATCGGTGTCAGCTTTAGCACTCTCCCTTGTCAACCTTCATCCTGTGAACTTCATCTCGCATGCATTTTGTGTCCATAGCGTTCTGTAGCGTTGCTTCCAAGTGCCTCCATGTACCAGCACATCTTGTCGGCCGTACTGGCTGGTGGAGTAAATCATGGAAACTATCCCATTACTCTGTTCGGCTCGGTGCCACTATAGCCATGTTCAATTCACCCAAAGATATAAAAAGTGTCGAGTTCTAATCCTGTATCCATACTGTGAATGTGTTCCAATTTTGTACCGTACCCGGTGAGAATGAAATGCCGGTCATGCACGGTTCTTTGTCCTTCCTACCACCACGATGTCAAACCACGAAGAACTACCCTACGAACTTCAAGTCGAGGCATTCGCCTACGGAGAGAATGGGAAAAGGGTTGAGGTTAAGCTTCATCCTCGTGTTCCGGAGGATAGACTGGGCAAACCTCCTCAAATTGGTGAATGGGGCCTTGACTTTGCCAAAACACTCCTGCACGACGTGAAGCATGCAGAGAAATGGAAATGTGAATTCTGTGGTAGGATCTCTCTTCTTGAGCAAGCTCACTGGATCACACCGAACATTCCAACTTCCAATAGGTGATCATGCGAAGTTGCCTAGAGTACAAGCGGGATTTTGGACACATCTCAACCCTCCACGGCTTGTTCTGTATGTGAGTTGTTGATACTTTTTTTTTTTTTCGGAGAGAGTAAAAATGAATTCACGCCTCACGATCTGTAGGTTCATGAGACCTGCGACAAGCCAAATTGTGCGATCCAATTCGACTATATACATGCGCAGTTGAGCGCTCAGCCTGGGACTCTGAGCATTATCGAGGTGGAGAATACCAACATTCTTCCACCAGTCTCTGGAAGCTGCATCAAGTGCGGTCGCGAAAAAGTCGAGGGTCCGGATGCTCAGCTGATGAGATGCGCTAGCTGCAGACTCACTCGGTAAGTGGAGAAGTCTTCCTTTGTTGCATTGACGTTGAAGACTGGGGTACTCATCGCTAATAGGTATTGTGGGAAGGACTGCCAGAAAAACGACTGGCCGAGGCATAAGCGAGGTGTGTTCCCTATGATTTCAAAGCTGCTTAGCACTGAGGAAGGTCCTCAATGCGTAGTATGCAAGGCAATCCGAAGCGTTGAGTTCGTCGATTGGGGGGCAGAAACTCGAACCTAGATGTCGAATTCAGCAGAGCCGCGTGGACTCTATTTCCCGAAGATTACATTCGATCACACAATGCCACTTGATCCATGTAAGCACTTGTCTAGTCGAACAATGGACCAAACCATCGCAGTCATTTTCGGTGAACAATAAGCCCGGCCACCATACGATATCGTCCCTCCTTCGATCGAATTAACAACAATGGACCTGAATTTTCGAGTCATCACTTCCAATTGGCAGTGACTTGGAGTCATTGTCCCAAGTGAACTTGTGGTAACGTGAGACCACGTCGCACCGGAGCGCTTATATTCTTGATCTCGAACCACCATTATCGCGCACAGGAGAGATGAACTCAGCTCCCCTTCAAAGGTCGCACCGCCTGGAGGCGGCATCCACTCCAACAGATGCCAGCACGCGCAACGAGAAGACTAACAACATCGGCAACACGTCGGATGATAATGGAAAGCGAAAACATCCAGAGGACTGTGAGTTCAGATAACTAACTTTCGAGCCCTGTTCATCTGTTTACTCAAGTTGACTTTTCATTTTAGTTGCCGCTCTACCCGAAGAAGACGCCGACTATCTTTTGAACACGAAGAAAGCCAAACGAACGAAAAATGCCACCGCTTCGGATGTCTTCGACGTTGAACCTGAAGTTGAGAACGGGGAGAAAGGAGCTCTGGGGAGGCTTCCTGTGGAGCTTCTGAGAGAAATGTTTCTCTGTTGTCCTTCCGGGACTTCGTCGTTCAAGGCTTCAGGGATGCCGTGGACTCTCGGTCGTGTGTGCAGGTGCGTACACCTTGAAGCGTCCTCCGCTCAGACTAAACCATTCCATAGACGCTGGCGCCAGGTAGCTTCGAGTACCCGAGAACTTTGGACGACGATATCATTTCAGGATAGCGATCTAAATGCCGTTTTCAGAAACCGACAACGTGCACATAAGCACTACGAAATGCTGCATTTGATGCTTGCGAGGCGTGCTGAAAAGAAACTCCACATCAAGGTTGAATTAGACCGGCTGCCGCCGATAGAAATGCGCCGTTTTTTCGACCTTTTGCGGTCGACAACACGCGACTGGGTCTCCCTCACTCTCGACGGGTACCCGTATACCCACGAGGGATCTGGTGGGGTACCACTCTATCCCCAGCCAGAGGATCGGAAGGGCTTTGCCTCTCTCGAGGCGGTCTCCATTCAGGATATGAGCACTTGGGAATGCCAAGGAAAGCTTCGCGAGTCTCTTGAAAAGGCGCCCAAGCTTTGCTCTATCACCATCCACCATTTCAACAAGACGCGTAACATCGTTCCATTCCCCCTTTTCCGCTGGCCGAAACTGGTCCACTTCGAGCTCGATCGTTCACCGTACAACTACGCCTGGTCCGCTCGAGGACTGGCGTTGTGCTCCAGCCTCGAATCTCTAGTGATATACGCCTCATCCGATCGCGGTACAGACAGTTTCATGTCGATGACAGAATTCAGTACAGTACGAAAACTACGTCTGGTTAGTGGTGCGTACAAAGGCTTCAGTCGACTCGCCACGTATCTGGACTTTTGCCGCGGACTCAAGCTACCTGGCCTCGAGCAACTTGAGGTGGATAGTCAGCCTGAGGCGGATAGTCAGGCTGGAGTCAAGACTGACTGGGAGAATATAACCGCTCTTCTTGAGAGGTCGGCGCCAGCCAAGCTCAAATCCGTATCTATCGGAGGTATCTCTTTGATGGATGTAACTGTGGGACGACTGCTTCGGAATACGCCGCAAGTTACGAGCCTCACAATCACGGGAAACGTGTTGCCTTACCTTCCTAACGCTATCCTGTCCGGCGATATTCTCCCTAACCTTGAATACCTGGGCATTGCTAGGCTGACGCACTGGAGGGGTCTCTCTCGTCCGACCATTGCTGCAATCGTAAACCTCTTGAAGTCCGGAAACCCGACTGGGACACTGGGCTCCGTACGTGTCACAGAGGAAAATCTCAGAATGACGATGGAGTGCAGGCCGCGTGAATATGACTCGGCAAGGCCCTGCTTAGAGTCCACTCTCCTCGACCATGCGGCCGCCGAAGCCTTCGAAGACTTGCTCTACGACCTTGTCTATTGGGATGGCCTCAGTTATGAAAAGGTCTTGAACGAGGTGAGCGAACTTGTCTTTCCTATCGCAATCCAATTCTAATGGGCAACTTTGAGAACATACAACTGGTAGAGTTTATCTTGAAGGCAGTGGAGGAGTCTGAGCCCGGTACCTGCAAATTCTGGCTCTTTTGCAGTAAGGTAGTGAGAGCAGGCAATGGTCATAGTTCAGGCTGAACCGACCTCGTTTCTAGAAAGAACATCGCAACATCGGGGATTTGGGCAGGTCCTTTCGCGATGGTGACCTCAAAGACCGCTGGGACAGTATCCGGGAGAGGATGCTGCGTATAGCGCAGGAGAGATGGCAATATTGAGGTACGGGGTAGTAGCTATCGCCCGGTCATCCACTCCCTTCGTACAGAGACCAAGCTCCGCTGAGTTCTCGTTGGAGTAACGACGACCCAATTGAATCCATTGAACGAGGCAAGCACCTTGAACTTGAAGTACCATGAATATTGTACATATGGCGATCTATAGTACGAGAATGTATGTGTAGCGTAAAGACATGGTGTTGTTAAATACTAAATGAAGGCATGATCTTGAGTGAGTACATGGAAACAAGTACACATACAGACGGGAGAAATATAGATACAACAAGATCACTTTCGAAGCATCAGCATAGCCGTACATAAGACGCCTGTCAGTCCGCCGAGAACGCCCACCACCGACCACTGGGTGTAGCTCTCAAAGTGGTGCGCTAGGGGAACGTCCGTAACCTTGCCGAAGAAAGAGTACAACACGATCGCGGCAACGAAAGCCATGACAGAGTAAACGAGCAGAGTGAGCGGGAGCGAAAGGATAACGATTCGTTTCTGGTTGACGGGTCAGTATCACTATTGAGAGGAAAGCCTAGGAACACGCACCGAATGCACCATCATGCCTTCTCCAGAGGGGCCAAATCCGACGCCGGGTACAGTTCCATAACTCGCACCATAACCGCTGTAGGCCAACGAAGTGAACGACCTTTCCAGGTCTGACTTGTACTTGAATATCGCGACGACAGTGGCTATCATGGAAAACGTGGCAAGCAGGGCAGCTACGAGACCGACAACACGGGAGATTGCATCCAGACCGGGGAGTGAGAGAAACGTTATCGAAGCGCTAAGGATGATCGCAGCCTACAGAAAGTTC